CAGATGGTATGGATGGTATCTCGAGTTTTGTCGCGATGTTGGGTGGTCAAATTGAGCGCCTGGAATTAGTCCGAATAATTCCTCTGAGCACTCGTCGTGGTAGATGCGATAGAATACGCATAGAGATAAAACATCTATTCGCAGCGTCAGTGAGTCGTCAAGCCATTCAAAAAGAGCTCGATCGCTGCCGATTCGAACCGCTCTGCGCTGGATGCAATCAAATGGCAAGAGCTGGCACTAGGGAACCCCGGCCCAGAGATGGGAACAGTATTCCGTGTGTGACTGTAAAGTTTGCAGGTGGTGTGCCGCCATGAAATACAATTTATTATAATAACAATAATTAATTTGTACAATTTTTCAAAGCTACATTCCAAGTGACCACGAAAATTAACGTCATTCGATATGTCGACGTCGAGGATTCTGACACAGTCTGAGACGACATGTGGAGTGCCCTGAAACTGAGGAGATACGACAAATCGTTTTTTTTAGCGGTAAACGCGCAAACTTGTGTCTTCTGAGAATTGAACTGGACTAGACTTTAGTCGCTACGACGAACTCAAAGTCACAGTGAAAATATTAAAGCAGCTTATAATATCGCCTTCACAAAGTTTTAAGAGGGTAATCGAATTAACAGTCAGGGCTAGTACATGTTACTTCAATGATGGACTCATTAAATGATTTTGTTCTGACCCGTAATTCGAACCCGCTACCTCAAAATCAACTGTCTCGCTACGACGTCAATAATAAATTATGATCGATATACATAAGCAGACATTTTTTATTTTTTTTAATTAGTTGTATTTGTAAAAAACGTGTACTATCCGACAAACTAATTGCAATTTGGCGAGGTAATTTCTTCGGTAATGTACCTAATTTCATTGAAATAAATAAATTAAATAAACAAAATATCTTAGTAGCCAATATTCGAGATCAAGCTCGAGTGGCTTCGAGTACCGTACATTTCAAATAGTACTCGGGCTCAATTGGCGTAAATATTTCATAAAAACAAATGATGTACATCGTTTAGAATTAGTTGAATGGATTCGGTTCGTTTGTAACGAAGCACGGCGCCAACGAAGGGTCGATCCCAGATAGAAGAAGCTATTTGCATCTCTAATTTGATATTCGAGGACCTCGGCCGTACTCGTCTCCATTGTCGGCGTTCGCTATCGCCCGTGTATTCAAATGGCACCTAATATTATTTCTAGGGAGTTTCATCTGTTCGAATAAAAACAGCTTCGTTTGCCTAAGGATATGTTTACATAGTACGTGTACCTTTTGTGCTTTTTTAATTAAATAATCACACCAATATATTCCAAACTACTACTGCACGGCGGTCTATAGACATTTATCTTTTAGACTTTAAATAATATATTGTTTTCTTTTCGTACTTTCTATACAGAAAGGCCCGTTAGCGTAGTGGTTAAGCGCTTAGTCGCAAGTTTGATTCTGACAAATAGATGTTAGTAAGACTATCGAATAATTGTTTCAGTCAAAAATTTCTAGTGTGTAATATTTTGAAATTTTTGTCGAGGTAATCATCGTCATGAGCCCGTGAACCACCGATTCCACCGCTGTAAACTTCTGAGTATCCGGTTTACCGTTCAAAACATTAGCGTTCTTACATATAAAAAGTTCTCTTTTCACTCTAGAAAGGGACAGAGATAAATAGAGATAATTAATACTTAATAATAAACGATACAATGAAATAAGTAAGAACGAGAGAGGTGTGTCAGAATCGTGCCAAATATAATTCGGTATACTCTGCTTACCCTTCTAGGTAAGTGGCATGAGAGTTTATGTTATGTTTATGTTAATATCTGATTATAAGCAAGCGATAACCAGCGATTGTAAGTAAGGCTGAAGATTGTTAAAGTTTAACGTGTTTCAACACATTTCTTGTTGTAACAAATTTAATTGAAGTAACTTAATCTATTGAGGCCATCTTTATGATGTATTTATGATACACTTTGTCATCTATTTTTAATTCATGATGTTTATCTTATAAAGTCTGACAAAATAGAGATTACGTGTACACAATGCTTTAAAAGCACGCGATCATTTGACGTTGATGTTTGAGATTTTAGCGCGGCGTGGTGTTTTCAGAAAGACAGCTGCTCCAATTTTCTTTTTCTTTTGTTTGAATTTGGACGCCGTCATCGAAAACAATTTTATTTGAAGAGGCCGACAAAGTTATGTAAGAGCGTTATAAGAAAACGACAAGAGTCGTCATAATAATTGGATGAACGGTAAATATGTTTAGTAATATGTCGGGAAAAAGTTTATTCGTATTTTGTTTGTATAAAATTGAAGAAAAATATCTTTGGTTGTAATGTTTGTATCTGGCTGCTTTAATTATCAATACATATAGAACATTAAGTAAAAGAAAAAGTAAAAAACACTTTCCTGCCATTTTTCTAAAAATTTTCTTTTACTGTCCGCCAAAATAAGAGAATCTAATGAAGAAATTCAATACATTCTGAAGTTTTGAAAAAAAAAATTGACTGTTATGGACCTAATGCAGTGTCAGTAAGAATAGCACATCGTAGAGTAGTCAAGCGTTTTCAGTCCGGGATTTCGATGTCAAAGATGCAAGCTCGCTCTGGTCGCCCTCATACGGGTTAAGTCAATGCCATTTTTGAAAAAGTGGAGCAAGATCGGCTAGTTACGACAAAGCCTAGGAATTGAGGATTGACCACGAAACAGTTTTGACCCATTGAAAATAATCTGGAAAGCTCGACATTTGGGTACCACACGAGCTCACTGAAAGAAACCTAATAAATCGTATATTTATTTACAATTCTCTGTTGAAACGTAATAAAACCAAAAGTAAATATATCGATATTTTAACATCATTGATATAAAATGTGAACTGATAGTCTCTAAACAAATTTTGCATGGGTGCTGCAGGCTGGGTGTTTGAATCCCGCACAATATACTTATATTGTGCTGGATTTCGTTGCTACAAAACATTGTTTTAGGTCTGATTATTTGTTCGTATGCTTTTTTATGTATTTAAAACACTTCTAAGAGATAGAAGAGGTTCCTAGTGTAGGTATCATGTTTATTATGAAAAAAAAAACAGAAGTCGCAATATCAATGACAGTCAAGTTGGACTAATATTATATTAAATCCCAACAAAATTATGAGTTACCTGATATATTGTATATCATAGTTTCAAAAAATAATTGAATAAAAACTACCTACAACTTACTTAACTTTGACTTTTTTAAATTACAGACTTAAGATAGTTTAGAAAAATGTTTAAAAATCTGTGCCGGCATCGTCGCCAACAAATAATAATTATTGTAACTGGCAAATACTGAAATATAAATGCCGCTGACCCCATTTGCTTTTTTTTTACTTCTCTTTGTCTATACTCTAACCCATTTATGTGTTCTCTATAATTTTTTTCATGAAATGATCTTTATAAATTTAATGACGTACAAACTTTGAAATTAGAAATTAATTTTATTTTTAAAAAGTTGACTTATGAAACGAAAGTGTCCTTTTTGCCATGTAACAACGTAAGGGACTATTACTACTGCTACCCGTATCATCCAGTAGATGAGGTAAGGTGTCACAGGGAAACTGAAAAAGAAGATGTGAAGCAACATGTTTCTGGTAACAAAATATTTAGAGAGAAAAGAAAATTAAATAAAAAGGTTTTACTCGACAGAGTACACTATGACAGATTGTTTATTTTAGTTCTAGACCATAGGTAGGCAAACCTATGTACCTATGTATGGGTACCTATGTTCAGCAGTGTACTTTAATAGTCTATAAATTATGAATAACGAAACCTTTCAAAATATATCTTTTTAATATTTTATTGGCTTAAAAATCTAATAAATCTAATAATAAAATGGCTAACTTAATAATTAAAATAATTTTTCGGCTAATTATTCAAAATGAGCGACGAATTGAATAAAGAACGAGAATTTGACAGACGTTTCTTAATACAGCGACGTTCAATTACACGGCTTTCTGCAAGCGGTCACAGCACGCCAAGAAAATTCGACAGGCCGGTGTTTTCTTTCACTTTTCGACAATATTAAATAAACCGCGAAGTTATTCTTTGATCTATTCAGAGATGTTCCACTTTTACATTTTACTATCAGGAAATGTCCTTCATCGACCCATTTTATTAATGCGTGCTACAAATTGTAATATAATATTAACTCGTCCACAAGGCCATTGCTCTTATCGTCTCATTTTCGCGTCTATTCAAGTCAGTTCATCACGATACACGACATGAGAGCCGTTCTTAATATCATACGATGAAATTTAAAAATATATGACCATTGACTATTATTTATATCATCATACCTTTTTATAATAGTGATAGTCATAATTCTAATATTTATCACACCAAGAACTTATGATTAAAAGCTGAACGTAGGCCGAGTTAACTATGACATCAAGATCGACCTAAGTCTTTTTCGTGACCATGGGTACTGCAAAACGCTAGAAACGTCGGTATTACAAATAAATTACTGAATTAAGTCATGTAATGGCATTGTAAGAATATCCACTACGCCAAAATATCATCCTTTTAGTGCCGTAAGAGGCGACAGAGGGAATCAAATCAGGAGTTAAGCAGCAGCGCCTTCCTAACAACAACTAAAAATTAAAACTCCTACCTATCCGCTTGCCAAGCTTGGCAGTTGGCAAATCTATGGAGGAGGCCTGTGTCCAGCGGTAACGGTAATTAAATTAAACGCGTTTACTCATCCTTCAGAAATAAAATAAATAAAATATCTAATGAAGTGTTTTTTTGTCCACAGGTATTTGTGAAAAGTGTTTCCTGAGGTATTGATCTCATGTTCTCGACGCGCTCGTGCCGATAACAGTGTCAGTGCGTGGATTGTGTGGATGTGGAACGTTGAAAGCTGATCGAGCTGGCGTGGTACGGGGCCGGCGGGGGTGCGATGCAGGCGGGAGGGGGGTGGTTCGTCCCCTGGACGATGGGGATGCAGAAGTTCGCGGTGGCACTGCCGATGGGCGGTGTGGTGCCATTGGTGCCACCGCTGTTGGCAGCACTACCACCAGCTCCACCGCCGTTACGACTTATCGCACCTCCCCCATTGCCACATCAGTCGCAAATAGGAAGAAAGGTACGTGTTGATGGAAAACATAATATAGCCTATCTTGGTAGCGTATTGCTTCTCTACATAGTATAAAACAAAGTCGCTTCCCGCCGTCTGCACGCTTAGATCTTTTAAACTTCGCTACGAATTTTTATGCGGTTTTCATCAATAGACAGAATGATTGAAGAGGAAGGTTTATATGTACAAAACATGAACATGAACATGTCAAGATCCAAAAATTACGTGCAAAGCCGTGGCGGATCGTTAATAAAGATAATAATAGAAAGAAAAAAATCTTCATTTAATGTTGTAATCACAACGTACACTCGAAAACAGCATATATACATAGCCAGCATAAAAACGGTATCTTTGTACAAGATATAACTCATCAACTCTAAGCTATTCTAAATTATTGTTGTTTTTAATCATTTTCTTTATGAGCCCTTGAAGTTCTCTAAGACTGCTGGAGCCTCTCGTCTTGATACATTTGGTAGACTGATTGGCGGACGCAGTATCAAACGTTAGATGCTGCTGGTCTGAGTATTTTACGTCTTATAGGATATTGTTATTTTTTTTAATAGAATAAGGGTGACAAACGAGCACACAGTACACCTGATGGTAAGTGGATGCTGTGATCCATAGACATCCACATTTATCTTCAGTTAAGAATCAAAATGCAGATGCGTTGTCACCCCTGAGGACTGAGATGGAATGCCTCATTGTTTCCAGTAAAAAGGGTCTCCGGTTCTCTACACTCACCATACGAAACACAGCAGCATTAAGCTGCTATTTTACGCTGGTATTCTGTGAGACCGTGGTCATACCCTGGTCGAGCCGACCCATTCGTGGTGCAACCACAATATACCTACAGCATGGCTTTACAACGTAAAAAACCGTCGTCTATCGGAAACCTTTAAATCTTTCTGGAATTTGCATACTAGAGAGAGATAGAGAGAAAGAGAAAAAGAGGGAGAGAGAGAGAGAGAGAGGTAGATGGATAAAGAGATAGAGAGAAAGATAGAAAGAGAGAGAGCGCGAGAGCGAGAGATATAAAGAGATGGAGAAAGAGATATAAAATTATGGACTGAGACAGCGAGAGAGAGAGGGAGACAGAGAGAAAGGGAGCGAAAGAGAGAGAGAGAGAAAGAGAGCACCGCCACAAGACAGCCTCGGAAAGGAATTTTGAAATTATATCTGTTCTAAATAATATTTATTATTTAGAACAGATATAATTCCTTACTGAATAATGGTAAAGTAATATTATTATAATGGATTTGTGTCAAAGCGAATAAATATTTGTGTCAAAGCGTATAGACAGTAGCTCGAGCACGGTAGATTCACGTGCCAAATTTCGAATATCACTTGCGCATCACAACACATAAGCATCTTATATGAAAATAACGTATATTTAAGCCTTAGTTTACCGCAACTCTGACGGGTCACGACAGCGTTTTCAATATCCTTTGACACTCCTGTATAATCAAAAGGGAACGGGGAAAAACCTAATCTCTTTTGTTTGTGTGTTGACGACTATAATGACATAAGCTTAAGCACTCGTATTAAATTCTTTACTACCTACTCAAGCAGTCCGAGATTGTTGCTCATAGAATAAAACTAAATTTACGGATTTTATCGCGTTTATTTCACTACTTTTACTTATTTTTAATTCCCGACGTTTCGGGTGCTTTACAGCACCCATGGTCACGGGGGACTGAGATGTTTGACGTCCCAATGTCATTGTTAGTCCGGCTACCTTCAGTTTTTGAATATTAATTTTTGGTCCGATTTACGCAAAACGAGCTTATAGTATCATGAAGTTTTGCAGTGGTATGCTTAGGTTTGGGTTTAATTTTGTTAATTATAGGATCCCAAGCAGGTGCCAGCACCCATCCATCTTCTCTATTGAAATTTGGATGTTTGTTTAATTTCAACAGCCTCGCGTATAATCCTTGGTTGGAATCGGTGTTCTTTTGCGAGGATTTGTGGTTTATCAAATCTAATGTAATGGTGGGGACGATCTTGAACATGTTCGCAGACTGCAGACTTCCCGGAGCGTCGGTGCTTCACGTCAGCTATATGTTCTTTCACGCGGGTTTTTATGGATCTTTTTGTTTGACCTATGTAAAAGAGACCACATTCACAATCTAACTTGTACACTCCTGCATCTTGTAGAGGGATATTACATTTGACGGATGGTAAAAATTGACTAATCTTCTTCGGCGGCTTGTAGTATGTTTTAATGGAAGCTCGCTTCAAGATGTAGCCAACTTTGTCTGTGACTCCTCTGACATATGGTAGTACAGCAGGTACACGCTCGACTATGGCCGGCTTCACTCGGTCACTGTGACGTAGGCGCGGGACCCGAAGCTTGTTGTCTTGCCCCGTGACCATGGGTGCTGTAAAGCACCCGAAACGTCGGGAATTAAAAATAAGTAAAAGTAGTGAAATAAACGCGATAAAATCCGTAAATTTAGTTTTATTCAATGTGTAGTGTTTGCGTAAATTTAAGAAATCATATTGTTGCTCATAGTTGAAGGAAAAGGTGAGAGGGAAACCTGAATTTCCGGAAATTAAAGGAGAATGTGTGAATTCATTATTAAAAAAAAGTATTGTGGACAATAGCCTACTCTTTTACTCTTACAAAATAAATCAGGACAGGGTCTGTACCTAATCATGGAACTTTTATATACTTACTTTGTTGTTAATGCGTAGATATATGTAATTTTTTCGCAAAAGAAAACACTATCAACTTCCCCGACTCTCTTCTCAGAATACTTTCTGTATCGTGGGGATGGGATGGGATACATTCGACTGCGGGGTAACACAAGGGTTATGTACTAACTGCTGTTGCTACTGGCTTAAACCGCACGGTGGTCTCCATCAGTGTATACGAGATTTCCCGGGATCTCCGTTCGTAACGCAACCCGGGCCCCTCTCGTTTTGTTTTTGTCTCAGAATACATACCATAACCGCATTTATGTGTTTTTAAACAAACCTTATAGTCCCCAGAAGTGACCAGGAGCAACATCAGTGGTCAAAGTTGTGTAATATTTATTTTTTTATAAAATTTTAATGACAAAGGAGGTTATAGTCCAGTTATTGTAAGTGACCACTGCAGCCCATAGATACCTGCGACTAACTTCCAAGAAAGAAAGCTACAAATGCGTAGTCACCTCCGAGGACCAAGATAACCTAACCTAACACTTGTAATACAACTGCTTTCTATAATCTTCAGACAAACACCAACAGTGAACTGAGACGCAGAAATGCGTAAGGTGATACTTAGCCAGACGTACTTCTACACGGATAGATACTCCTTCCACCTAGTCTAATACTAGAATTTCAAACAATTGACGCCTCCGCCTGTCGCTTAGCACTGAGTTGCGCTTTACTCTTTACCACTACTTTACGGCTCCGTGGCGCTGTAGCTTAGCAATCACTTACAGCACTAAGGGCCGCGGGTTCGTATCCCGCACGGAACAAGTATTTGTATGGCCTACAAGTAATTGTTCTGGGTTTGGATGTTTGTCCTTGTGAAATTTATGTTTGTAAACTGCCTACGATACGGGAAAAAATCGTAGTGTGGAGGTAACGTTTTAAAAAAAATTCAAAGTTTTATGCTTCACAAAGGTTCACAAATGTTCATCAATTTTCAAAACATTACTTTTTGTCCGCCTCAGTAACCTCTTTTACGGCCTGTTCGAACGCTGCTATCGCATCTTCCTACGATGAGAATTGTACCTATAATTTCGTGACGTGGCTAAGCATTGAGTTGCAGCTCTAAGGACTGCGTGTTCGAATCCCGCGCGAAGCAAGTATTTGTATGGCTTACAAATAATATTTTAAACTGATTCCACTTTCCAGAAAAATGTTCTAGTATGGGAGTAACATTTTTTCTATGATAAAAAACCGAATCACACGTCAAATCCACAAAACGAAAACAAACAAAACGTAACATAACAAAACATTCGCTAGAAATCGTTTGATAGAGAACACAGATTAGCTTTGTGTAATTTTACAAAGAAAATAAGTAAAACAAGAAGTCCTCTTTCGCAATATATTACGTCACGAAAAAGTTTTTAGTGAACCTTTTTGTTATCTAATGATACACCGAACGGCTCCGACGTCGAGATATAAAGGATAAAGCAATTTGAAGTTTTTCACCCCTAAATTGTTATAAATGTACATATAATTCGGTGATCTATGTTGGTTGTTTATTTTATTTGATAACGCCGAATTTCTTTTGTAATTAAATCTACCTAATATAAACGAAAAAGTATATTTCTTTTCACTTTATTATTTCATTTATTTGACGTGAATACAAAGTTTATCTCGTTAGCAATTAGGTATATTATTTATGTGTTTAACACTCAGTTACACGCGCAGTTTATTGCTATATTATTAACGCCATGTTAATACATTGTACGTATATATATATATATATATATATATTGTGTGTGTGTGTGTGAGTAATAGGAATACTAATTTGGGATGTTACTCAACATTCGAAGACCTTGATTGAAACTACTTTTACGGATTTTATCGCGTTTTATTTTATTTTTTAATACCCGACGTTTCGGGTGCTTTTCAGCATCCCATGGTCACGGAGGACTGAGGTGACTGACGTCCCGATGTCAAAATTAACCCGGAGTACCTTCAGCTTTTTAATTATTGTCTTTGGTCCGATCTACGCAGAATGAACTAACTGTATTTTGAAGTCTTGCAGTGGTATGCTTGGGTTCAGTTTTAATTTTATTAATTATAGGATCCCAAGCAGGTGGTAGTACCCAGCCTCCTTCTTTATTGAAATTGGGATGTTTTTTAATTTCAATAGCCTCACGTATCATCCTTGGTAGGAATCGATGTTCTTTCGCGAAGATTTGTGGTCTATCAAATCTGATGTAATGGTTGGGGCCATCTAGAATATGATCGCAAACTGCATAGCCCACGCGAGGGCTCCACTAATTATAAAGGGTGTAATACGTAGTTTAATTATTTTCTATCTAATATACTTCGATCAATAATCG